GCTTCAAATGGATTAATCACATGCTATGGGAGTTATATCTCAATAGAACTGTTAAAGGGAAGAAAAGACGTTGGCTGGAATTGGCCGACATGCGTGCTTGCTCCCCCTAGTACCATCCAAGATTTTAGAGCCTGAAGACACCATCAAGACCATCCATTCTACCCCTTGTGTTTTCAAACGGGGAAGCCGATGCCCAGAGAGATTTAAGTGACTTTTTCAAGGTCACACTGCTGGTTGGTGGCAAAGCTGTGTCTTGGTTGCCCGTTTCAAGGTGTGTGTTTGGAGCTCGTCCGCAAAAACGACTAGACGGCCAGTTCAGCTGATGAAAAATTAAAAAATAAAAAGGAAAAATAAATCATCTTCTTCTCTCTTAGTTAAAGGAGACCAGTTCTCAGAACAACAGCAGAGAGACTTGCACCCGGTTGTCAAGGCTGTCTCACGACTGTGGAGCGGGGAAGACGACTGTATCCTTACAGGTCTGAGGTTCCTCGGCTCTAGTTGCAGACGGATAGTTTTTTCCCCGCTACCCTTTGAAGTAGACTCTATGTTTCAGAGCAGTGGTAGGTTCACAGCAAAACTGAGCAGAAAGTACAGAGAGTTCTCATGTGCCTTCTGCCCCGACATGCACGCATCCAGCACCAGATGGTACTTCTGTGAACCAATATTGACATATCAGCATCGCTCCAAGTCTGCAGTTTATGCTGGGGTTCAGCTCGTGGTGTTGTATATCCTGTGGGTTTTGCCAAATGTACCATGACATATATGCACCATTACAGCGTCGTACAGAGTAATTTCACTGTCCTAAAAATCTTCCGAAAAAGCCATCTCTATATATTTGTATTTAATGGAGGTACTGGAGATTAAAATTGGGACCTCATGTGTGCTAAGCACGTGACCTACCACTGAACTATTACCCTCCGTCCTCACATAAGTTTTAAGAAATGTCTTTGAATAACCATTTTACCTATCTCAGGAGTACGACGTGGCATTTTGATACACATATACATAATGAAATGATTAATTAGAATAACGACAGTAAAGCTAATTAACGTATCCATTTCTTCACACACTTACCTTTTTTTGTGTGTGTGGTGAGGTGCCCTGAAATCTACTCTTGGCAAATCTTCAGCATATGATACAGTATTCTTTTT